GGTTAGGGGTTAGGGGGCGCAAATTACTTGCCTTGCCCCGGGTTAGGGGGCGCAAATTACTTCCCTGCCCCGGGTGCTGACAACCCACGCTACGCCGCTGAATTCAGGTGACCATACCAGACTTAGTAAAGAGTGAGCTATAGTGGTATTAGATTCCTCACCATACTCACTGGCTACTGGAGTATATGAGACTGAACTAAGCTTGCCAGACTTCCAGGTCTGACCTGAATTCTCCCAACATTGCATGGTCCTCTCCAGGTAACAGGTAGAAGGCTTGAACCTCCAGGTGGGTGAGAGTGCCAGACCTACCCCAGAGGAGCATGTGTTTGCATTCCTGACATTTTTGCAAAATGGGTTTTGGAAGTAAGCGTGTCACTTTTCCTCTTTGAAAGCTTGGCGAGTGGACTATCGAAACTGCTGGGGCAACTTCATTGCTTCTGTCCAGTTCTGAATCATTCCTGAACTCTTGAATTGTGATTCCTAAACCCCATGTCTGCTGCCAAGCCTGTGCTTTTATTTGCCAAAATAAAGATTTCCTTATTACTTACATGTAAGAGCTTCTGTCTTTGTGCATTGGGACTCAGCAGAATAGGTAGTTTCCCATGTTCTTACATAAAATTGTGGCTATCTCATAGTTCTGGTGCCTCATCTCATTCTTCCAGAACATAGAAACAAATTAAAAATTTGTAGTAGGTGAGGAAACGAGTTAGGCTGCTCTGGAAAAAGCCCAGTGCCTTCTCTCCTGCAGCCCACCCCATTTATGCAACAGACGATCAATCCTGCAGACTACAAAGCCTGCAAAGGGTCAATAATGGACCAGCAAGGTCAGTTTTTGTTTGAACTTCCTTCTGTTGGGTATGTTCATCTGGATGTGATGTACTCAACTTCCTGTGGGTTATTCTAAGACAGAATAAAGGCTTTGTAGACCCCTGCCTACGCAGTGCCAACCTCTTCCCACATATAAAATAGAACAGGATTCATCCCCTTTCCTGTGATTGTTTAAAATAGCAATAGCACTTTTAGCTAGAGGAATAAAAAAAAGCCCACAAAGGAAAACAAATTGCAAATGGGAAATAAAAGGAGATCACATATACTGATTCCAGCATATTATTAATATATGACCTGCTCTGAACTCGTTTTGTGTTATTAAAAAATAATGAACTACACTGTTAAGTGGATGATATACAAGTCTCAGATGAAAAATTGTAAATCAGTATTTTCATTTCTTTTTCATCCCCCACCCACCCACATTTTAAGGTGGGGGGCTATATAAGGCTGATTTCACATTCCAGTCTTGCTTTGCTACTTGACCTTTTATCCAGTTTCAAAAGAAGCTCTCTTAATGTAGAAAGTGTTCTATGTGCTAATACAGAGGGTGCTCTGTGTGGGACTGCCTCTAATAAGCAGTTGGGAGATTCAGCTAGTGCAATATTTCTGGATTCTGCTTTGCTGATATAATTACCCAAGTCTTTGTTTCATGTGCATCATCTACATGGAGGAAGAGCCGTAACTCAATGGTAGCATCCTTGCTTTGCATGAAGACTGTCCCAGGTTCAATCCCCAGCACCTTCAGAACTGTGCTGGAAAGGATTCCCTGCCTGAAATCTCAGAGAGCCACTGCCAGTGAAATGTTGATGATATTGAGCAAGATGGAACATAAGAAGAACCTGCTAGATCTGCCCAGTGACCCACCTAGTCCAGCATCCTGCTCTTACAGTGGCTAACCAGATGCCTGTGGAAAACTTGCAAGCAGGACCCGAGCACAACAGCACTCTCGCTTCTTGTGGTTTCCTCCAGCCACTGGTATTTGAAACCATGAAGTGCTCACCCATTCTCAGTAGCATGGTGTTGACTCTGCAGCCATCCTCTGTCCTGTCCTGTGGTCTTAGGCTCCAGAAGCTGTTAGGAGAAGCTATAGCCTCTCAGGTCAGCAACAGGGTTAAAATTTGCCCACCTGAGATTTTAGACCAATTGCGGGTAGGCTTGGGGGCGCAGCCATGAGGGGTGGACCTGGGTCAGACTCCTGCAGTCTTCAGTCTGGTCCACTCCCTGAGGATTTAAAGTCAGGCTGGCCCCAGCCTGAGACTGCAGTCAACTTCAAATCTCCCTCTCATAATGCATAATATATACCATATTGGCCCGAATATAAGACGCGCCATCAAATAAGCCACAGCTTTAAAATTGAAGGGGGAGGGAGAAAAAAAGAAAATAACGGGGTTGCTTCCTGGGGGGGGGGGAGCCGCGCTGCTTTGCAGGTGGCCTTCCCCCCTTCCCTCGGTGGCTCAGAGGAGGCGGGAGCGGCGGGTGGGCACCACGCCGTGTAAGGTCACGAATATAAGCTGCACTTATATTCTGCATGGGAGGAACTTGGCGGGGAAAGTGCTGCTTATATTTGGGCCAATATGGTACTCTTCTGCTCTGCAAGCGTGTTGTTCCTAGATCAACCTTGCTTTGGTTCTTATGGTCACCATATTTGGGGCCAGAGATGGATTTTTCCCGGTTGGATGAATTGGGCCTGTCTGAGGGTTTTGCCTACCTCATGGCAATTGTCAAAACTTTGGGTGGATAGGGCACCGAGTAAGTTTCTAGTTGTTGGCAGACACTGGCCAAGCCTGAATCAGTCTTGAACCCCAGCATCCCTCCAGCAGGTGGGCTGGAGGAGTTGTTGGCTACCCAATGCCAAGCCAAAACTCACTTACAACTGTAATCAATAAAGTTGTGGTCTGATTTTTAATCCAATAGTGTTGCCTGGGTCCTTGTTTACTGATATGGCCAATGGGGCAGGGCTCACAGCGCTTGGGCACAGCATGGCTAATAGTCATCAATAGCCCTCTTCCCCCCTGAATACATATATTTTTGGAGAAAAGTTGAGATAATTCCAAATGTTGTTCTCTTGTATTGGATGAATCTAAGTTTATTATTGGAAAAAAAAGATGTGAGCTCATACTGGCTCAAACAATTTGAGAACAAAAAAAAAATACATATTTTAATGAAAAGTGACAAGGTTAATGATGCTTGCTCTCATTTCTTAGGGATGTCTAATTAAACATCATTACATTTTACAAGGCTAACTTACTGATGGTGTAATAAAGAAACAGAAATACTAAATTGCATATCAAAGCAGCTGGAAACATTCAGCATTAAGATCTTGAGGCAGAGTTTCTGTTTAGTGCCAAAGTAAAAAATGAAAACAGAACAAATAAGAGATGGGAAAGAAAAGAAAAAAGGTGGGGGAATCTCACCAGACTTATTAGCCAAGGGACAGATAGATGGGGAAAAAATACAGAGCACTTAAAAGATCTAGTTTGATTGTAGTGCATGCTGTCTGCCTCCTTACCCTGCTGTGCTTCAGATAGAAATCTAAATAAATGTCCAGTAATTAAATTAAGAGCTTAAGCAGGCTGCTTGCTGTACTCTGGGAGACTTCAAAGTGAATGTGGTACTCAGGACTTAGGCAGCGTTGTACAACATTTTCTGCACAAACTGACCACACTTTGATACAATATTGTGGGAGAGGGAAAGAATATTTGATGCAATATTGGGGAGGGAGCAATCCCACCAGCCCTATATGACACCCAGTGGCAGGAAGTGCTCCTGCAAGCACAGGCTCAAATTGATCACCATAAAACAGCAAGCACTGAGAAATAAGAGAGGCAGAGGAAGGGAGTGAGAGAGGCAAGCAGAGAATTATCAATACAACAAATGCTTGGTTGTTGTTGTTTTTAAAGACCAGTTTCAAGCAGTTACTGAAATACATTAGATTTGAGGTGAGGCACAACTCCCTTGGAGGGGGTACTTTTAGAGGAAACTGGAGAAGAAATTGTCACCAGTTCAATTGTTTTTCTCATTTCCTCAAAGTAATATAGCTAGCTTTGCTCAGGGTAAGCATGTTGTCAGACCTTGAGCTACCACACAAACGTGCTTGGACAGGTTATGGAACCCAGGTGCATCCAACCCTCTCTTCCCTTCACAGAAGCCCACATGAAGGAAAGCATGATAACAACCTTACAATTTTATTATACAATAAGAAAGCATTGCTCCACATTGCTTCACCTGCCATCTTATGCAATCGCTTCACCTTCCCTAAGGGTGGACTGGCCCTGCTGGGAGGTGGGGACTGACTATGAGCCCCACCTCCCAACACCACTTTGAGAAAAACCATTGCATTCCCTATCAATTGAAGCTTCTGGGCCATCTTCAGAGACATTCATGTATGGAACGTATCAAGCCTAGAGATTACAGAAGCATCAACCTGCATAGCAAGATATGCTGAAGACTCACTTCTTTTTCCTTACTTTTGACGCTTAAGGTATTTTGTGTAGAACTCTTTTTTTGAATTTATACTGCTGCCCACAAAAGATCAAAGAGATCCAAATAATTGTAGAGTTGGAAGGGACCGCAAGGGTCATCTAGTCCAGTGTTTTTCAACCTTTTTTGGGCAAAGGCACACTTGTTTCATGAAAAAAATCATGAGGCACACCACCATTAGAAAATGTTAAAAAATTTAACTCTGTCCTATATTGACTATATATAAAGTAATTCTCTTGAATAGGAATCAAATAAACACAAAGAAAGTATTTTATAATTACTTTATTATGAAATACAGTGGTGCCTCGCAAGACGAAATTAATTCGTTCCGCGAGTTTTGTCGTCTTGTGATTTTTTTCTTCTTGCGAAGCACGGTGTTGGAAAAGTTTTGGAAAAGCTTCAAAAATCACCAAAGTCTTCAAAAACCTCAAAAAAGGCTACCACACCGCATGCTATGAGTTGCTCCTCGAAGTCAAGTCGCAACTGTATTAGCAGTGTTAAGAAAAAGGAAACAAACTTGCAAGACGTTTCCGTCTTGCGAAGCAAGCCCATAGGGAAAATCGTCTTGCGAAGCAGCTCAAAAAACAAAAAACCCTTTCGTTTTGCGAGTTTTCTGTCTTGCGAGGCATTCGTCTTGCGAGGTACCACTGTAGTAAGTAAACAGAAATATGAAAAATTATAAAATACTTTATTCAGTGCGCAACCTGGGCCTGTTTGGCTGAACACAAAGCTGATATTCTGGCTGGAATCGAAGAAAGACACACACGTAGCTCTTCGTCAACAGCTCTCAGTCTCTCTCTGTATTTAGTTTTTATAGCAATCATGCTTGAAAAGCTCATCTCACACAGATATGTAGTGGAAAATGGGAGCAATGTCAAAATAGCTTTGTTTGCCAGAAGGGGGAACTCCTTGGCAGTATCCAACCAAAAACTGTCCAAAGGTAGATCAGCAAATCTTAGCTTGAAACCACGATTTTGTCTCAGTTCAGTTAGTTCCTCCTGCTCCTGTAAAGTCATGTCCTTTCCACCAACTGGATGCTGAGCTATAAGGGTCCCTAACCCAGTCAAGGCATTCAGTGGAGACTGAAGAGAAATAAAATGACAACTTCTCCGGTCCTCCTGGTGACTCGAGTCGTGACGTCTTCTTCTCTCCGCTGCTGTGCACACTGTGCTCGGGCGGGAAGGAAGTCGGAAGATGATGTCCTACTGTGATAGGTCCAGGCTGGAGTCTGGACCAATCACAGCCTGGACATCAGAAAAGTGGAGGGTGTCCCCCTGAGGAGCGCCAATCGGCACCCCTGCTGGCTGAGGGTGGGGTCAAAAACCCCACCCCCCCATACCCAGGACACAGTCCGGCGCCCGCCTAGTGGGCAAAAATTTGAATTATTTTTTTTTAATCTTTCGAATTTTTCAATTTTCCCCACGGCACACCAGGCAACATCTCGTGGCACACTAGTGTGCCGCAGAACAGTGGTTGAAAAACACTGATCTAGTCCAACCCCCTGCAATGCAAGAATCATTTTGCCCAATGTGGGGCTCAAACCCATGACCTTGAGATTAAGAGACTCATGCTCTACCAACTGAGCTAGAATCCTGGGAACTATAATTTGTTAAGGGTGCTGGAAATTGTACCTTTGTTCTGGCTGGAATGGATTTTATAATTCTATAATCTATTGTAAAGTAAAATTTGTTGTTGTTACTTCTACTATATGACCCATCTTAGGTGGGGGGAATTCTCTTGTCCGTCACAGATGAGAATTTTGGGTTCTACACAACTAAGTTATTCTCAAAGTAGAGGCAATGAAATTAATGGACCTAAGTTAGTTAGCTCCATTGATTTAAATATGGTCTCTGAGTAGGACTAATACAGACAGTCCCCTGTATTATACAAGAAATCTGATCTGCTTCTCTAGGAGCAGAACTGGGTACATAAGCCACTTCTAGACTTTTTTCTAACAGCGGTTGTTAGAATGATGAACCTTACTTGATTTTGGCATAGCAACAAACCACTTGATACTTTCCAAAGACCAAAATACACAATTCCCAATTCTGCTCCCGAGGGTTGAGAGGAGAGAGAGGGGCAGTTCTATTGTATGAGCAGAACTCACTTCACTTGGATACAATCTTTGTTTGTATTGATGGACCTTAAAGATCAAACAAAAAAGCAACTAAAAGTATTTTAGCAGCAAAATTCTCCAAGCTAAGAGAAATTACTCTGCTGACAGCAAAGGTGTTCCAGAACAAACCTGGCTCAAATTAATCGCAATATCAGAGTACTGTATTAATCTTTTCAAAGTAGTTAATTTTTTCCAAAATATGATTGGATAGTCAATTTGCTGATCGGCTGCAGCACATTGCTCCCCACAGAGGCTCTGATGAAGTGAGAAAAGATTTAAACAAAGAGCTGCTTCTTATAATTAAATAGAAAGACTCCAATAACTTTGTTCTTTGGGATGAAGATGGGGATAATTTTCATTCAAACAGAGCCCTGTAAGCAGGTCCCATGTTCAAAATTCTAATTAAAGCTTAAATTAATGTCACTTGATAGGATTTCAAAGCAGAACTCGCTTTTTGACATTTAAGAACTTTCAAAACTATATTTCATCTAATTGCATTTCAGGGTTTCAATTTTAATTGATCCATATCTATGGTTTTAAATGGCTAAATACATTTCTGTAGCTTCGTCGTTTTGTTGAAATAATAACCTCCCCACCTTCAAAAGATGTATGTTACTATAATCTTCCATCTTCAAGCCACCATTATTACTACAAGCCTCTGTAATTACTACTGCTTCAAGGAACACTATAGAAATTCTTACACTGCTTAGGGGACCTTTAAGGAAAGTTTCCTATGATGTAGGCAAGGAGTGATGGACTGATGCAGAAGTCACCACCGCCTGCTCCAGTGGGACTGTCCTCCCTGCCACAGGGCTGCCACCAAGTGCCTTGTGGGAAGGAGAGGAGAAAGATGATGGGCAGGCAAAGAAGATATCAGGAGTCTGCTCCTGTCACTGCTGGATTCCCTCTGCAGTTTGCCTGGTGGGAAGGATCCTGGTGACTAGCTATGTGTTTGCTTTTGTGTGTGTGTGTGTGTGTGTGTGTGTGTGTGTGTGTGTGTGTTGCTGCTGCTGCTACATATTGTTGCTTACCAGCAGCAGCAGCAGCAACAACAACAACCCTGTATTCATATTACTTGTAAGCCACATTGGAAAGATCTGTATCATGAGAAAGTGAGAAATAAATAAATTTTAGTTAGAGAATTTTGCTACTGGTTGTCTAGAGCAAATGGTGGGGTACCTCTGGCCTGCAGGTCTAAACAGGCTCTTCAAGGATCCTAATTTGGCTTGTGCAGATGGTTTACACAAACAACACATGCCTCCTTTCACATCTGCAATGGAACCATCAGGCTCCCAATTGTTCCCCAGAAAGCTGGGCTTCTAATAGGCACCTTTCAAATTTGATGAAAACTGTATGACCAATCCCAGTAGTATCTGCAGTAATCATTGATGTGGGGCCAAATGTATACCCATTGGCATTAAGTTCCAGGGAATGGACACTACCCCGAGAATCCCCTTTTCTAAAATCCTCATCAATCTTTCTGTGCTAGGGCCTCATCATTAATGAGTTTCTGTGGTCAGAAAGATACATGGGGTGTGGTGGGGAGATAAATACTCTCTCAAGCTCTCTCTCTCTCTGTCTCTATGCTGGATAAAGTTGAGGGAAGTTGTCATGAATGAGCCAGCCCCCATGGGAAGTTTGCAGCCAGCTCTCAGTGAAGGAAGCAGCCAGGGAGAGAGGGGGTTAACTGCAAGACAGGAGGTTTATAGCTGAGAGCCAACTCCCCAGCCCTTAGGAATGCCAACTGATAGCAGAGTTGAGGAGAGTCATCGGGCTGCATGCCAGCACGCCAGGGAAGGACAAAATGCAGGGGCTAGAAATGAAAGCAGCTCAGAGAGTGGGAAGAATCATGGAAGTACATTCTTAGAGAATGAGGAACAGATGGGAGCTGACCCCCTAAGCCCATGGTCTAGGCGTATGGGGGGGGGGTCTTCAAGACAGAATACATCACAAGAGGAAGTTGGGCTGTTTCTGGTCTCACCGGAAACACCCTCCTTAGAAGGGACATCTTTGATTTATGGACAGACGGCTGTGATCACCGCTCCGATGAACTCTGTTTGTTTTTGCAATGAATCCTCTTTTTAATTAACTATGCTTGTTTGTTATCAAGACTCTCTGACAGAAGCGCTACATCAGCCCTTCCTTATGAGCAGTGCTCCCCGCCCCCTCTAAAACAATGTTTAGGGGTACTCTCATTTTCCTACTCATATTGAAATACTGTCCCTCAATGAGGCCAAACTTAGATTCACAAAATGTTTAGGGGTATGCATACCCCTGCGTCCCCCCAGAAAAAAGCACTGCTTATGAGTATCTTGTAACAAGTTCTGCAGGTTAGGGTTGTATGCAGGGCACAAGAAGCATTTTAGGATCTAGTGCTGTGGATGTGGGCTAGAGACAGTATTGCTCTTTCGTAGTTTCACCCCACTACTCTAGTTATGCCCCTCATCCCTGAAACTAGGAGGATATAACCTGGTCCCTCCAATGCTTTCTCAGAACCATCAGGTCCAGTCTCGGACTTGGGCCATGTACCTTGCTATCCCAACTACAGTGATCATTTGGACTAGGGGTAGCAAATGTGATGCTCTCCAGATGTTGCTGGACTACAGCTCCTATCATCTCTGACCCTTGGAGGCACTGGCAATGGGATTTGTAGTCCAACATCTGGCACAGTGGCCACCCATGAGTTAGACACACCTTAAAAATGAAGCACACCCAGAAGCTTTCCCACCTCACCTGGCATTCTGTTTTAGAACTGATTGAAGGCAAGAATCATATTTGCTTAATGCTTCCTTTCCTCCCCTCCCCTCCCCACTCCGGAAAATAAAATAAAATACAGTGATGAAAACTAGTCACTACTGCAAACAACATAAGAATCAACAACTCCACAGAATATGACAGATAATTAGCAGTAGCAACACATTAGCTGCTCTTAATAAGAAATATGCCACTTCCGTGCTGGAAAACCTTACTTATGAATGATTCAAATCTATGAGAGTCACCAAGTGATTCATCTTTTCTTATCAACAAGATTAATTCTTTGCTTTGTTTTTTTAAAAAAACTTTCTATGCTCTGACTAACCTTCTTCAGCAATACTTTTCCTTAACCTTCAACTGAGCTTCTTTAGATTTTCAACAGAAAGAGCTTATGTATGTTTTCTTTTAAGAATGACTTTCTCTTCAATCTAACATTTGCCTACTCCCTAATTTCACCTCATATGAAACTGCAGGCTTAAAAAAATTGTTGGAAAGTTTAGCTTGTTTCTTCAGTCACAGAATTAATCTGTGCCAAGTTAGGCTCAGGAATCTTCAGTTCTAATATTACCACCACCCTTTCAATTTTCCACATGCCAAATGCAACTTTACATGCAATTTCCTACATGTCCAGTGCAGTTCACTATGCAAGAACAGCAGCAAAAAACACCCTAACCATATAAATGCATCATTACAAGAAACAGTCAAATACAAATTCATTTCAAAGTGCAATATACCCATCTCAATAGAGAATTCATTTTGATTATATCGACATTATAGCATTTAAACTCATTACAGAGGATGCAATATCAATCCTTAAATCGCACACCAATATTATTTATCAATTGTTAAAACATATAAATATGAAAACACCTCTCAGTTCAGTCAGGTATTACTAAATAATATAACCAGCAGTCATTTGTTTATTTATAGCTCACATTTCTACTGGGATACTTCAAGATGGTTTACAACGGAAGCCATAAAAAAACACAGCAGGTGTGGTGTAGGTATGTGTGAAGATATGTTGCAAATATATAGTATAACATTAAGGCTTAACCTCAATAAAAAAACAGCAAGAAAAACTTAGATCAGACTACTAAACTAGCAGATATCAACTCAAAGAGGCAGAGAGAGAGAGAGAGGAGGGGGTGATATAATTATGGCAGGGGGCTGAGACATGGACCTGTGATTGTCAGGAGAGGATGCCAGGAGCAGGTCAGCAATAACTTACACAGCTTCAGTGAAGCTAACTCTTTATTCAAAGAAACAAGACAGCTTGAGAGGCCAGGCCAGGAGAGCACAGCAACGCTTCCTGCCCTATGAGGCAGTTGGTCCCCACCTTCCCACAGCTGCCTAAGTCTCCCCTTCAGCTTCTGACATTTCCTCCTCCCAGTCTGCTCCCTCTTCTCACTCTGACCGCTCATCATTGTCCCACCACCAATCACCTGGCTCTGAGCCTTCTTCCCTTTGGGATTCCCCAGGTGGTGCCCCTACCACTCCTCTGAATCCAGCCAGTGGTTCTCCAGAGGTTGTTGCATGGCCAATGGTCAGAGATGATGGGAATTTCAGTCCAACAACATCTGGAGGGCCATAGGTTTCCTATCCCTGGCTTAGTATGATCCAAACGAGCATCTGTCTGAATGCTTTAGTTGAGATTTCTGCATTGCAGGGAATCTTGATGAAATATGGCATTGTTTGGTATTCATAACATTTGTATCAGGGCCAGCCCACCCATGAGGCAAGGTGAGGCAACTGCCTCAGGTGGCAGGATCCACAGGGGCATCAGATCCTGATGTAGATATTTATTTCCATCCTTGTTGCTGATGTAGATTTTCACTTGCCCCTTCTTCCCTGGCGGTGAGGGGGCACCATTTTGGCATTTGCTTCAGGAGCCAAAATGTTTTGGGCTGGCCATTTTGTATTCTCTTTGTCTCAGGTTGGTTTTTGTTGTAACATCTGATTTATTGTGTTGTCTCTCAGGAATGTACTTCACTTTATGTGGTAACAGCTGTGAGCTCAAGTTTGTTTGTTTTTTGGTACAGGTTTTCATTTTTTTTTCTCCTTTTGTTATTTTATTTAAAGTTATATTTCTTGCTGGGCTGTTATTTCAACTTCATAATAAAGCTTTGTGTGTTTTTTAATTTTCCTGGTGATCTCCCCCCCAATACTTTATGAAAACTTATATTCCTGTATATACATACACCACAGCTAATAACAGTATACATCTGTAAATACTGTTCTTATTAAGGGATCCACAAGAACTAGTCTTTACTGAAAAATGTGTAAAGAAAACGATGTTCCACCATTCTGCCACAAATGTATCTTTGTTTTGCTGTTCCTGCCAGTTTTAATTTGTGAGTCAGTTTTTTCTATAAGGGCAATATACCATGCTCTCTTGTACCAGGCATTCAGGTTTACACCTTACAATATGTGACTATAGCCATATGTGCAGCCACTAAGAGGAGTCCAATTATTAGTTTATCCACCAAGTCCCAATTCTCATTTAAATACAAATTCAGTAATGCAAACCCGGATAGTTGCATTCTGAACCGATCGAAGCCTTCGGGTAGTCTTCAATTATCCCCCTTTTAGTAAGACCTTTAGGTGATTCTATATCTTGTCCCTTCAAGTCATGCTTTTATCATGGGCCTGGCCAGCATAATCACCCCCAAAGGACTTCAGGTGTTTCGTCCTTTGCTTCCAGCAATGTGCAATGTTGTCCCATCACTGAGGAAGCCCAGACCTTGTAAGGAGGCAGCTGTTATGAAATTAAACTGTGGCTATAGTTCATAAGCTTTAGAAGCCGCAGCTGAATTATACAACCCACAATGGCAAATTGAAGAGCCAGCAAACAATGCATACTCCCCCCCACCCACTCCAAAGAGCTTCTTCAAAACTCTTTTCAAACCTTAATTTGTGTAGGAACATGCTCAAGAACTGAAAACATCTATGCCAAAGAACAAATGACTCACTTAGCACTACAAATTACTCTCACCCAGAATCCGCCTGGGCTTTTTTTGTACCCTCTCTGACTTCCAGAGTATCTGATTCTACATATAAGTAAACGAAACCCAGCAAATTGCTTGGATCACTGTAGCAAACTCCAGTTTGTAAAAATTAGGATGCACCACATGAATACATTTATCACCCAACAAATAAAGTCTGAATGCCACTGATCTTGAATATTATTATTATTATTATTATTATTATTATTATTATTATTATATTTTCTGAAGCTACTCCCAGCTCTCTTTTGACAGATGTGTTATGCTGCATTTCATTACTTTCTGTCCTTACCTTGTTCTTCTTTTGTTTCAGATAAATGATGATGCTTTCAGGAAAGATTAAGCACTGCCAGGCAATAAAGCAATGGTCCAAACACAGCTTTAATTGAAACTTCAGATCCTGCAGGAAAAACCAGAAATTAAATCATTAATAATATGATTTTTACCAGCCGACACAATACTTCTACAGATCTGGAATTTTAAGCAAGCTTTTGTTGTTGTTGTTGTTTTTTCCTGATCTCAAATGCTGGTTACCACTATGTGCTCAACACTATCAAATCACACTGAAATCCTCACCAATAAGTCATGTCCGTTGCTCTGGAAACTGAGCACCGGCTCAGTTGGGTGGGACTACAGCTGCCTCCCCACTCTCTAACATCTGCTGCCTGAAGCAGCTATACCACCCTGCCCAACGATAGGACTGTCTCTGCCCTGCATACCAAAATGGTGTTTACTGCTGTCAGCATGGTCAGAATAACTGCATGCACATCAGTGCCAAATGCTACCACTGTCAGCTACCATATTTGTCCCTATCAATTACACATTGCTTCTCCCACCCAACCTCACCCAGCCCCAAGTGGTGATGACTGCAAAGCTGAAGCTCTAAATGCATGAAGGCTTTCTGTTTTGTAATAAAATGTGGGACACCCAGTGGATTAGGCATTCTTTTGATTTTGGGGAGTGTTGCTTCAATGGGGTCACTTTGGATGCATTGGCAGAAATATAGGCAGGCACTTTTGAATGGCACGTAGGAGCTATTCAGGGAGTGTTGGGGAAGGCCCTTAACTCTGTGATAGTGCATATGCTTAGCATGCAGAAAAACCAAGGTTCAGTCCCTAGCATCTTCAAGCAGGGCTGGAGATTGGAATAGGGAAATATTCCTGCCTAAACCCCACGAATGCTGCCGCCAATCAGTGTCAATGCTACTGAACTGGGCGGATAAATGATATGACTTTCTTACATTGGCATACAAAACCTTTCATCTGAACACAACACTACATTAAAACATACAAAAGTTAAAATACTAAAACAGATTAAAATCCCTTCAACTTTCTAAGCATATTTATTTTTTATTGATAAATAATAATTTTATAAATAATAAATCAAGATACACCAGGATGAGTGAATTGAAAAATAGGAAGACCTTGGACTGTCAGGGATCAGTGGGGACTATACTGGCATAATTCCTTCAACCTGGATCAGCTGGAGCTATGCCGCTTTGGCCAGCAGAACTTAAACTGGTGGAGCTTATTGTATTTATTACAATTATACCCCATCTTTCCAAGGAGCTGAAGGTTGTGGCAGTAGTGGACCCTCAAGCTTGAACTGTTGTGGGGACCCCTTCACAACAGCAGCAAGGTCTGGGTAACCACTGTTATCTTCCTCAGTAGGGTTGTTCCATGACAGACACCACAATTGTTTGGGTTTTCCGGTATCCTCTTCAGTAAGGGCTGTGGCAGGTGAAGGGAGGGCCACAGGAATGACCCAGGAGACTGGTATTGGGTTGAAATAGGTCTCAACTTTTTTGATCACAGGAAAGAGTAGGTTTGGCAAAGGCATTGGGCATGCATCCTGCATCAGGCAGCCCGCCTGCTACCTGATAGGAACCTGGTCGGGTCGAACTTGTGCTAGGGAGTTGCCCCCAATATGGAATGGAACCCACAACCCCACACAGACCACCATTGGGAGAGGTATACGGGCCCACGATCGGCCAACACTTGGCCACCCAATTAAATAGGCTGGGCTGGGCTGCACACATCCCCAAGCTCCAGCTACTGACTCACAAACTTTGGGATTGTTGAAGTATATACAACAACAACAACAACAGAATAATCATAGAATCATAGAATCATAGAGTTGGAAGAGACCACAAGGGCCATCGAGTCCAACCCCCTGCCAAGCAGGAAACACCATCAGAGCACTCCTGACATATGGTTGTCAAGCCTCTGCTTAAAGACCTCCAAAGAAGGAGACTCCACCGCACTCCTTGGCAGCAAATTCCACTGTCGAACAGCTCTTACTGTCAGGAAGTTCTTCCTAATGTTTAGGTGGAATCTTCTTTCTTGTAGTTTGGATCCATTGCTCCGTGTCCGCTTCTCTGGAGCAGCAGAAAACAACCTTTCTCCCTCCTCTATGTGACATCCTTTTATATATTTGAACATGGCTATCATATCACCCCTTAACCTCCTCTTCTCCAGGCTAAACATGCCCAGCTCTCTTAGCCGTTCCTCATAAGGCATCGTTTCCAGGCCTTTGACCATTTTGGTTGCCCTCCTCTGGACACGTTCCAGTTTGTCAATGTCCTTCTTGAACTGTGGTGCCCAGAACTGGACACAGTACTCCAGGTGAGGTCTGACCAGAGCAGAATACAGTGGCACTATGACTTCCCTTGATCTAGATGCTATACTCCTATTGATGCAGCCCAGAATTGCATTGGCTTTTTTAGCTGCCGCGTCGCACTGTTGGCTCATGTCAAGTTTGTGGTCAACCAAGACTCCTAGATCCTTTTCACATGTACTGCCCTCAAGCCAGGTGTCCCCCATCTTGTATTTGTGCCTCTCATTTTTTTTGCCCAAGTGCAATACTTTACATTTCTCCCGGTTAAAAGTCATCTTGTTTGTTTTGGCCCAGTTCTCTAATCTGTCAAGGTCGTTTTGAAGTGTGATCCTGTCCTCTGGGGTGTTAGCCACCCCTCCCAATTTGGTGCCATCTGCAAATTTGATCAGGATGCCCTTGAGTCCATCATCCAAGTTGTTGATAAAGATGTTGAATAAGACCGGGCCCAAGACAGAACCCTGTGGCACCCCACTAGTCACTCTTCTCCAGGATGAAGAGGAACCATTGATGAGCACCCTTTGGGTTCGGTCAGTCAGCCAGTTACAAATCCACTGAGTGGTAGCATAGTCAAGACCGCATTTTACCAGCTTCTTTACAAGAATATCATGGGGCACCTTGTCAAATGCCTTGCTGAAATCAAGGTAGGCTACATCCACTGCGTTCCCTTCATCTACCAGGCTTGTAATTCTGTCAAAAACGAGATCAGGTTAGTCTGACATGACTTATTTTTCAGAAATCCATGCTGACTATTGGTGATCACAGCATTCCTTTCTAGGTGCTCACAGACTGTTTGCTTAATGATCTGCTCCAGAATCTTCCCTGGTATTGATGTCAGACTGACTGGGCGGTAATTATTTGGGTCCTCTCTTTCCCCTTTTTGAAAATAGGGACAACATTTGCCCTCCTCCAGTCTGCCGGGACTTCGCCTGTTCTCCAGGAATTCTCAAAGATGACTGCCAGTGGTTCTGAGATCACATCTGCCAGTTCTTTTAATATTCTTGGATGCAGTTCATCTGGCCCTGGAGACTTGAATACATCTAAACTAGCCAAGTATTCTTGTACTATCTCCTTAGTTATTCTGGGCTGTGTTTCCTCTGCTGAATCATTTGCTCCAAATTCTTCAGGTCGGGCATTGTTTTCTTTATCAGAGAAGACTGAGGCAAAGAAGGCATTGAGGAGTTCAGCCCTTTCTGTGTCCCCTGTTTGCATTTCACCATCTTCTCCTCTGAGTCACCCCACTATTTCTTTGTTCTTCCTTTTGCTACGGACATACCCATAAAAGCCTTTATGTGTTCTGTTAACCTCTCTAGCAAGCATGAGTTCATTCAGTGCTTTAGCTTGTCTGACTATGTGTCTACAAGTGCTGTCTATTTGTTTTAATTCCTCTTTGGTGGTTTACACCACTTTTCCATTTTTTGTACACATCCTTTTTTAATCTTAACTCAGTTAAAAGTTCTTTAGATAGCCACCCTGGCTTCTTTAGGCACCTTCCATGTTTCTGTCTCATTGGTATTGCCTGACGTTGTGCTTTTAGTATCTCCCTCTTAACAAACTCCCAGCCATCATGAACTCCCTTTCCTTTTAGTATTACTGTCCATGGGATCTCACCCAGCACTTCCCTAAGTTTTATGAAGTCAGTCAATTTGAGTTCTGTGAATCAAATTTGGTCTACTAAACCCAAAATTTTAAAGCAATGTGGACGGAAGTCACTTTTGGGGCCACAACATGACTAGGGGCCCCAAAGCTTAAGCTTCATTAGTTTCATAGTAGATCCCCCCCTCTCCCCCCCTCTACCTCTTGATTCCTGCATTGCAGGGGTTGGATGACCCTTGGGGTTCCTTCCAACTGTACAATTCTGTGGCTCTAACCGTGTGAGGAAGGTTAGGCTGAAAGTGAGTGACTGGCCCAAGGTCACCCAGTGAGCTTCATGGCTGAGTGGGAATTTGAACCCTGGTCTCTCAGGTCCTAGTCAAGCACTGCAATCACTATACCACACCTTCTCTCAAGCATAAGCCTAAAAAATGCTGAGGGTGGGATGGGGCAAGGAGAGACACTTATTCCAAACCTGTTTCAGCTCAACAAAGCCCGGTGAGAACAACACCAGCGAAAAGGATGGTGTAATGCTATTTTAAAGGTTTGTTTCCACTCTGCCAGCTCAGCCAGCGATACCCCCACTTCTGAGCACAGCTTGGAACTTACACTGACTTTCTGTACATATGATTGCTCTGTTAATATCAGACAGTAAATTTGCAGTCAACCTGAGCTTCTTCCCTGGGCATATTGTGTCCTGTTTATTTATCCCATCCTATCTCCCTGCTAGGCTAAACCAAGAGCTCTCAGGACTGCCTTATAAAAATATAGGTTATCACCCCCACCACCCCTCCCTTCCCCTGACCCAAGGAAGAATTTAATCAGTCTCCTGAGGGGGAGATTTCATTGTCTGAGTCATTGCTGTTCCTGCTGCCAGCATGCTTAATTGAGTTCTTTCATAGTTGCTACACGTGTCCACTGGCACTAATTATACAGTGATCAATTCCTCTCACTAACAGTATTTGATCCATAGCCACTCCTTGACAAACTGAGAGTGAGTATTGGACTACACTGTTGTGTCAGTCACCTTGATTGAAATGTAAAGATTGTTTTGAAAGGAATAACAAGAACAATTGCATCACCTGTTGCACATTGATTGGAATGGGGGAAATGTTAAATGACCATTTTTCTGGGTGTTTCGGAGAAGGCATTTGCCACTCTCCACGGCACTGGACAACAATGAAGTAGGCTTGTAATGTGACTGTTGAAGGGAGGACAAACTAACCCTTTCAAGAAAAATCTACAGGTGACTACCAAAAAAAAAAAAAGGAAGGAAGGAAGGAAAGGAAAGGAAAGGAAAGGAAAGGAAAGGAGCTTCTGGAGATTTGCAAAATATGGATTGTTACAGTGGAATCTATAGCTGTTAAACTGCATGTAAGGACTTTTCTTGATTGATTGATTGATTGATTGATTGATTGATCAAGAGGCATTGGTCACCTCCCTGACCCAGCCAGCTGTTACCTCCCTGCTGCAAGTGGTCGCTCTGGCCAATCCGAGCACCTTGTCTACATCCTCAGGCCTTACCAACTGAAACTCATCCAACACAACAGGACTATACTGTGCTCTGGACACCCCATGAGATTCATCTGCTATAATAGCAGAGTCAAGGTCTTGGTGGATGCAAGCGATTTTAGTTTTGAGAAAAGGCAAGTAAGAGGTGACATGATAGAACTTCATAAAATCATGCATGGCATGGAGAAAGTGAAGAGAAAAAAGTTTTCCTTCCTCTCACCTAAGACTAGAATTCGTGGACATCTCAATGAAGCTGAATATTCGAAGATGCAGGACAGAAAATAGAAAGTACTTCGTGCAGTACATAACTAAACTATGGCCTCCCACAGGAGGTCACCAACTTGGATGGCTTTAAAAGAGGTTTAGACAAATTCATGGAGGATAAGTCCATCAATGGCGACTAGCGATGTAGGCTACATTCCATAGACCTTGGAGGCAATGATCTGCCTCCATGGTTGAAGGCAATATGCTTTTAGCTATTAGTTGCTGGAAACTACAAGAGCGGAGAGTGTTCTTCAGCTCACGTCCTGATTACAGATTTACTGCAGGCATCTGACTGGCCACTGTGGGATCAGGATGCCGGACTTCATGGGCCATTGGCTTCATCCAGCAGGGCTCTTCTTATATTCTTATTTAAGATTCTTTTGAGCTGCCAGGAGCTAAAAATGGACATGCAACACATAATCTGAACCACTAAGCTATGGCCTACTTCAGGTGGGATCTACCCACTCATGCAGCATCTTGGCTCCTGTGGCTTACTGCAAGAAGAATCAGCTAGAATAAGTGGTGTCGCAACAGACAACTACAGCTCTGTTGCTCTTGCTAGTAGCTGAAGATTGGCACTACACTCGGTATATGACCATCACCATCTAGGTCATCCACTTTTCACAGCAAGTATGAGTAATGCACCTGTTGGGCAACACTACACACAATCAGAAAGTGTGTTTCCAGTATACCTGAAGGAGCGTCTCCACCCCCATCATTCAGCCCTGACACTGAGGTCCAGCTCTGAGGGCCTTCTGGCGGTTCCCTCACTGCAAGAAGACAAGTTACAGGGAACCAGGCAGAGGGCCTTCTCGGTAGTGGCGCTCGCCCTGTGGAACGCCCTCCATCAGATGTCAAAGAGAACAACAACTACCAGACTTTTAGAAGACATCTGAAATATTGATGTATTACATTATTTTAACATTTTTGGAAGCCGCCCAGAGTGGCTGGGGAAGCCCAGCCAGATGGGCGGGGTATAAATAATAAAATTATTATTATTATTATTATTAAAGTGAGAAAGTGTTCCAGGACCAGCTCAGGTCTGAAAGATCTAGAGATAACAAATTCAACAATGGAAGGTCTTGAACAATCCCAGCTTACAAAATTTGATGCCTCTTTTTCAACCTTCTTCCCCACTCTATTTTGATTCAAATCAGGAGTGAGGAAACGTTTTTCAGCCTGAGGACTACATTCCCTTCTGCGCAGCCTTCCAAAGGCCACATGGTAGAGGTGAGCAGGGCCAGAGGAAAATGCGGGGGGGACGACCAAATTTCCTCTTTGTGCAGTATACTAGTGACTCTCACACTCCTCTTTATCTTCAATCCACCCAAACAAGAGGCATGATCAGAGTTCAAATACAAAAAGCATCTCTGAAGGGTCAAGAGTAGGGATGTCAGAGAACTGCATCAGAAACAGAAATGGGGAGTAGAAATATCTGCCATTTGCATTTTCATCCAAGGTGAGGAATGGAAATCACACACATCATTTTTTTATTA